TGCTAAAGCAAGAGCAACTCCAGCTAGCTAAGGCTAGCTTTCGTGAAAAATAAGCACAAACATCAACTAAAATACAGAAAAACACAACAACAGCAGCAAAGGCAAAAACACCCCTGCGGGGCTTTAACCTCTCTTTTCTATGAAAAACTGCAGAAACATCATTTTGGAGTTCAGTCTGTTGTTATTCTTTGCTTGATTTATGCGAGAAAAACGCTCAAAACCTGCGTTTTGAGCGCCAAAGCCTTGATATCTTGGATTGGGGGCATCAGCTACGTATGTTTCTTCGCTCGCCACACGACGTTTGAACATTGTCTGCCCCGTTCTTTTTGAGCAAGTTCCGTTTTTTGGCACGTATCGCAATTGACTGACGAGTGTAGTGGAGACGCAAGGGGTTCACTTTCTTGTTCTTCGTGCGTGTTCGTAACGACCACGGAACTTGCTCTTTCAAACATTTCCACAGAGCATGGACAGCAGGCCGGGGACCTCATTTTTGTTGGTCTTGACAGAAATCCTGCAGCATGGTTACACGCCATGTGCTTCACACTGTTTTGTGCTGCGAGGGACTTGTAGCAACCGGCTCCACTAATCAAAGCCGTGTGTGTTCCATCGGCCGCATGTGACTGCAGCTTTGACAAAGCATTCGTAGCACGGTCTTCTAACAAAACTGCTTACCTAACAAAGGAACACATGGGATCCAACACACAATTTGACGTCAGATGACGTCAGCACGTCTATCAAAATACAACGCATCCACAAGAAAGAAACGGGCCAAGACTGGGTGGTTCTTAAACAAGAAAAAAGGACCAGACAAACGAATAAGCAAAACCAACACAAGAGACAAAACCACGGGGTCATCCTCTGACATTCGAACCTAAACTGCGAAACGTGTGTCGTTTTTCCAACGAACGTTACTGCCCCCCCACCCACCCACCCACCCCCCAAAACACCGAAGCCCTTCGATTGAAGCGATAATGTGCGTGTTTAACAAGTAAAGCTACTACAAGTAGTGTGGGATCTGACAGCATGCAATATCCTCACAGCATGCAACATGTACAGAAATTCATAGAAAATAGATGAAAATAGGGGCCGGTTAAGCCCCCGCTAGCAAAAACACAAAAAGTAAGAAACGACACACAGCTACAAAAGCCCAAAACAATGCAAGAAGCTACAACAACAAATGCAACACAGTAAACAAAAATAGCAGCAAAAGCCAAAAGCCAACAAGAGAATATACGACAAGCAAAACACATATCGAGCGCAACAGAAAACGACAGAAGCAAAAAAAACAGAAGAGCAACCAAAACAAACAAAACAATAAAGGCAAAACAAGTAGAAAAACAAAAGCTAGCAAAAATATACAAAGCAAAAAGCAGCAAAAGCGAAAGGAAAACAGCTGCCAAAGCAGCAAAGCAACAAAACCAAAGAGCAGAAAACAAACACAAAAAGCAGAAAAGCACAAAAACAACAAAAGAAAAAAGCTGCAGAAGCAGAAAAGCGGCAAAAGAAAAGAGCAGAAAAAAATACAAAAAGCAGAAAAGCAGAAAACCAACAAAAGCAGCAGAAGGAGAAAAGCTGCAAAAGCATAATATTAAAAAGAATCACGAAAAGCAGAAAAGCAGAAAAACAACAAAGCAAAAAAGCAGCAGAAGCAGAAAAGCGGCAAAAGCAGAATATGAAAACAGAACACCTTAAAGAACGCCCCTCCCTTGAAATCTTTTGAAGCTTCTCTTCCGAGCTTCCCCTGACCAAACTGTTCTTGGCAAGATAAATGGACCAACCCTGGGAAAAGAGGGGAGACAACCATGACACCAGTGCTTTTGCTCGTGACGTGTATCCACAACATGAGGGATGGAATGGTGCTTCGGTGCACTTGATCAGATGGACTTGGAAACACTATATAGTTGGTTCTAGGAGGCTGTCAACCACTATCAAAGGATCAACAGGTCAGGCCTGGCCTTATAGCTGCCACACAACCAGTCAAACCTTACAGCGTTACGGCGTGAAATGGGTGTCCTTTACTTTCAGCAATGCATTTCTGGTTATCCCTAGAACTATTAATATAAGTGCCACTCGAGGAAGTAGTAGTTACAGTTACAGCATGGGCGGCTATACCCTGGCATTTGCGAGCGCTTGGATCATCTGCGTCAACCAAGTACCCCGACCTTTTGGAGCAATTTGATCAATGAAGGCAATCTGACGTTCTGCACCCTTCACTCCCATGATGATGCGACTGGCCCAAGGCCCAGCATTGGTCTTGTAAACATCAAGGTCCGGGTCATCCTTGGCCAAAATCAATCTGCTGGACTTCAGATCTGGAAAGAACTTCTCCAATAACCCGCAGGTCATCCGACGAAATGATGAACCTCGCCCAAAGCTTCTGACCACATGCACGTGCGAATCAGCACAAGACAGCGCCTGGTTAAGTGAGAGTCTGCCTTCATCTAAAAGCCTGGATGAAAATTTGAACCGATTTGAGCTGCTGTGGTTCCATTGTGCATAACGCCTTGTCCTCAAGGGTCTCCATCCAGAAATGAAGGACACAACTGGCAATAGTAGAGATGCAAAGCCTTCTCGCGGCTCTGAGTTCATCCATCCATGACTGACAAAAATCGCAGCTTGCTGCACGCGCACCGTGCCAACTGCGGATAGTGAACGGCCCTTGCACAGGCAACCAAGGGAACCTGCCAGCATGTCCTAGAGTCCTAGAGAATGCTATTGAACTTGGAGCCGAAAGAGAAATCAAGATGCATGATGGTCAAACGGTCAGCTGCTACTCATCTGTTTTCATGCAGCTGATTGGAGGTACGGCAGTACGGCATGGTGCAAGACATGCAAAAGCTACCTTAGCCTTGGCAACTGCAGGGCGTCAAGGCTGGATAATCCAATTACTTCTCTGTGTTTGCAGCACAGGTAACAAAGTGGTGACGACCACAACTCAAGGGCGGCAGACCGCTTCCAGCCGCTGCTTCGTTTCTGCCAATTCATTTTGGACCTGAAGCAATCAGCAAACTAAGCACGTTGAGATTCTCAAGGCTTGCTTGAGACCGCGAATCTGGTTTCACACCGCATACTCTGAGCCACAAACTGCTGAAACTTTCCGGTGCTTTGTCTGCCAATGAGTGCATATGAAAATTTGACAGAGACTACTTCTTAGTATTGCTATTGCAAAAGCGACAGAGAGCTCTGAACTGTTACTTGGTCCGTCTTGCAGAATCTATTTACGTTTCTAAACACACACCATTCACACCATTGGTGTGCATTGTTGCCTGAGGAGATGCAACAGCTCGGTGGTCGCTCGTGTAAAGCGCCCTGACTGCGTCAATATGTGAGCCCAATTGAGTGGGTATGTCTTGTCAAGCAAACGAACAGACCCATTTGTACTTAGCCGTTTAGTGTCTGAGGGAAGCTATCGCTACTCCCTACCTGATCCGAAAACACTGTTGAAACATGATGAAATACATTGAATTACAGGCAAGACGAGTTGAGGTGACATAAAGGATATACATGCAAGACAGAAAAGGTGTATTGACCAGACAGGTTGCGCAAAAGAGGTTTGTGGACTTTTGTTGACATGATGCGCTTCTAAACTTTGTGGTGGGCGGTCAAACACCGCCTACTGGATGTCAGAATCACTTCTATTTCAATGAAATCAAGCGTGCTGGGGTTGCGAGCTCTTCCTGGCACAAGTTCCCAATGTGAATTTGTTCTGGCAGAAAGCTCAATGAATGAAAATGTTCGTGAGAGAAATCCTGTCTTCTTCCTCATCATCAATGCAGTCTCCTGAATGGCGATTGCTGACCCCATCGAAATCTAAACGAGGTGGAGGCGGCGGCAGTGGTGGTGGTTGATGGTGGTCCTCTGGGAATTTTGCGGATGACGCTGGCTGGAAACCAGCCAGTTTGCTCATCTCCCTCCTGAGCCACCCATGGTTTCCATATCCTAGAAAAAGCACTCACGAGAGTCCTAGGTCTTTGCAAACAAAACACCTTCCTTCGTTTCTTTATGATCCTTTGAAACCTTTGCTTGCTTTCCATTTCACCTGTCTGCAGTCCTTGTGACCTCCGCACCAGCCGTTGGCCTCCTCCAGCACCTCAGTGGCCGTCAGATCAGTTGGGCCAGGGCCACAAAGCTGTGCGCCAGACCCACACGAGATCTCCAGGGCTGAGAAATAATTGTCCCTCTTTCTGGTCCTTGGAAGGACCACAAAGAAAACTGCTGGACCCAAATGTGGCTACCAAGGTCGGAACACCATGTGGCACATACCTGGTGAAGAGCCCTCTCACTTCAAAATGAGTCTTGTCCAAACTGAGTGGAATCAAGGTTGATGTTTCTTGATTGATATGTATTGGTGCATATGCATGTGCAAGAGTCTGACTCTTTCAACTGGAAACCCCCTCGCGTTTAGCAGTACAGTGTACAGTATTAGAGTATGCAGCCAAACCAGAGGTGTCTGTCTTCCATCAGTCATACTTGGCTCGACTTTCTTGCAGGAAGAATTATTGGCTCCCTGCGTTTGTGCTCATCCAGTCACTAATTACGCATCCCAAGACTGATACAGTGGTAGCTTCTTGTTTCCAGTAACAAGAATGCTACTAGTAGCGATGCCAGGAGCCCCTAGTAGCTTCTTGCTCTTAGTAGTAAGGCCAGGAGCCCCTAGTAGCGTCCTTGCTCCCAGTAGTAAGGCCAGGAGACCCTAGTAGCGTCCTTGCTCCTAGTAGCGACGCCAGGAGCCCCTAGTAGCGTCCTTGCTCCTAGTAGTAAGGCCAGGAGGAGCCCCTGGTAGCGTCCCTGCTCCTAGTAGTAAGGCCAGGAGCCCCTAGTAGCGTCCTTGCTCCTAGTCAGTCAACATTATTCTTCTTGTCCGGAATTGGTCAGCTCTGTTTCTTACGCTTGCAGCCCCTTGCACCCGCCTCATCTGGACCTCCGCTCTGGTCGCATCTTGAATGGGATACGAGTACCTCGCTTGAATAACTTGAATGTCTCATCAGCTGCTTGGCAAAGTGCGGCTAAGCCCCAAACAAATCCGGATACATGGTCTCCACTTGTGCCATCTTGCCTAGAAGAAGGAGGGGTGTGTTCGTATTGTGGAGTGAATGAGAAGCCAAGTATATAAATTGCTTAGAATCAAACTCGCAAAGAGAGGAGCAGAGCCACACAAGGCTGAGCCACGCAGGGAATCAGGACAAATAAAGCATCTAAGCGAACCTGCGCTTGATTCTGTCATGTTATTTTTCACCTGTCATTTGGCAACCTCGTTCCTAAAAAGACCAGCAAGCTAAGCTAAAAAAGAGTTGAAAACCTGATGGCGCTGCTGTCTTTTCACCACTTCCTAGGCGGCTTTCTTGCGGTTCGCGCGGGTCTCTTTCCACTCACTCGGGCCCATCCAGCTCCTGTTCTCTTCGCAGTGAGAAAAGCTGCGAGTAAAAAGTATAGTCAAGTCCACTTACAAGCCAAAGTGTCTCAGCTCATAGTGAGTCCTTTCCAACATCCTGACATTGAAAAGCTTCTTCCCAATGCGCTTGTCTACCTGGCCAAACCCAGCTCTCTCGAACTAGACCTCGAGACAGGTTGCTTGTACATCGTGCCTCAGCTGCAAGAAGACCTTGCATGTCTCGGACCTCGGTGTTCAATGAAGGCATCAGGTCTTGAATAAGCAAAACCCACGGAAACAAACGGAATCAAGTTGTAGCTATGAACCCAAAAATCGAACGCACCGAATGACTTGAGGGACTGACCCTGTGTTGACAGCTGAAGAGAATGTTATCTTTGGCCAAGGGGCTCCCTGCATAGACCCATCTTTTGGCCAAGACCAGAATAGGGCAGCCAAACTCCAATCTGGCATCTTTTTCAGCATTCGTGGTCGCCTTGTTGCACAAGATTGGACATTCCGAGACTTCCACCTGTGACACATGTGAAGATTAGCGCCCTCTTCAGCATTGATCTCAGAAGCGAGCTGAAGCCTGTCTGCAACAGCATCCAAGAGCTTGCTCATTTCAACATCCTCCAGAAAAACAAAACGAAAGCCTCTACAAGCACACATAGCATGACAGTCTCCGCGATTGCACAAATCCTTGTAGCCAAGCCGGGTCAATGACACGACAATCCTCGACAAGATAAAAAGGAATCCAGCAGTCTCCAGCCTCTGCATGAAAGCTTGAAGGGTTTTTTAAAGCCAAGAATCATCGGCAAGTCTGCGAGCGCAGTCTTGACCTTACAATTCTTTGCCGTTGCAATGGTCGTCTTCGCGATTTTGCCCAGCACGCCTGCATCCCTGTCAAGTTTGCAAGTGACTGCAAGTGTGCATGGTAGGATGTTAGCTCATCAATGCATTCTTTCAAAACAATGACTTCAAGAAAGGGGTACAATCATGGAATCTCAAATATGTGAATTGCACAATGGTTCTTTACCGTTCAATGAAAAGCCAACAGTTTGTCAGTCCACTCTACCTTGTCCCAGATTGCTTTTTCACCTAACTTCCACTGATTCGTTCCAATCCCTTTACAGCGTGATATCAGTGATATCATGATGGCATGATATCCATCAATGATATCTATATATGTATATAGAGAGAGTGCCCCAGTATAATGTCTTTCTGATTTAGGATGTGGTCTATTCGCCCTATCAAGTTGACTGCACACAGCTGACATCAAGGGCGGCAACCCAATATATACCTATATAATCATGATTGATCAGAAGCCGAACGAAGTCGCCCTGGCTATCATGGCAAGTTCTCAAAGGGCTTTTGAAACGCTTCTCCAAAACCCTTTCACGACTGTTGCCAAAGGCTGCTCGCTCTGTAATTGTTTCTCAGCATCTGACAGGTGTTTCACAGCATGTTTCTTGGTCCCCTCTTATCTGAGCGGTGTCAAAAACCGGTCTACGATCTGTTATACTCATGACTTGCTTCCGCCAATGCTTGCGCGGGGCTTCCGCGACCTGTGTTTTGGCTTCCGAGGGCAATGTTTTTCTCAAAAGTGCTCATAGGTTAGATAGATCGATCTCCTTAGTATTAACTCAGTAGTAGAAGCATTTATATAGTATTGTCAAGAAGATCAAAAATGCACTTCCGCAAAGCTTCAGCGGTGGTGAATTTTACAAGTAATATACTTATGCGGTGGCTTCCGCGAGCTTCCACGACTGCAGCTTTGGCTTCCACGGGCAAGTTGGAGTTTACAAGTTTGTTTGAACAGTTTCTGAGAGGTTTTTGACGCTGCTCATCTGTTTCAATACTCTGTCTCAGCATGTTCTCAACACTCCTTCCTGCTTCTTTCTCAGCAAATTGCCGCAATGACATACAATGGTAAGTTGCAATTGCAGACCAGCCTGAAGTCCAACTGCGCAAGGCCGAATGCGAAATTTGCAAGGTCCTTCGATCCACAGAAACTCAGACTGTTGAAAGGACGACCCTTGAGCATTGCTTGAAATGCAAACAAACAAGGCTTGGAAGATTGATTTTCTTGAAGGTGCAAACAGCAGACATTTCCTTCGATGCCAGCTGCAGCATATCATGCTCGGAAAGCAGGCCCGGTATATTGTCTCTGATTTGCTGAACCTGCCGATGGAAAACATCGCAAAACTACTGTACTAAAAAGATGTCAACTAGACGGGCTAGACATGTCAGGACGTCAGTATGCTGAATTCGCCTCCGTTGGATGAAGGTCTAACCTGACAAACTTAAAACAAAACGAAACATGCCTAGTTTGGTGGCCTCAAAATCTACAAACCGTTTCGACCATGCGACCTCTTACAGTCCAGAATTGATTATCCCTATCTCCTCCTTCTCATCTCTCTGAAATTAATTACCATCAAGGCGTAAGAAGGCGTAGTGGCACTCTGAGTATGTTTCACTAGCATGCCTTACATGTGCAATGCTGTTCTCTCTGTATATATTTCATATCAGATCAAATAAGTAGGTTTGCGACAAAGATCGCTGACTTAACTTATGTGAAAATTATCACGCAAGGCGATGGTGAGAAATGCAAGCGCACAAATAACCTGTTGTGAAAGAATACAAAGGACGGGGCTTTCCAGATGCCCAAACAAAGGCAGATATTTGCCTCAAGGCACTGAATAAAAGACCGTGCATCATCTGCGAGTGTCCAAAAAATATGCCGTTCCATTGTTTGCTAGCTTTACTGCACAAAGTCCACTGGGCTCAATATCTGCGATCAGGCAACTTTGGCTGCAAATCGCGTGCCTCGCAAGCTTTCAGCTAGCCTCCACTCCACACATCAATCTTGACTCCATCAGGCCTTCTCCAAGACAGCATCAATGAGGTTGGGAATCATATCATCAACCTGGAACAGTTGAAAATGGAAGGCTCTAGCCTCCAGCTAGCTGACTGCAGGAACAAAAACTAAAGAACCGGAAAACTCCACATTGACAAGTTTTCACAAAGCAGAATGTTTCCAAATAGTGCCAGGGGAGAGGATGGTGGGTGCAAGTTGGTGTGAGTGAGTTCGCGTGAATAAGTTGGTGTAAGTTGGCGTGGGTAAGTTGGTATGAGTGGCTTTATAGGTGAAAGTGCGTGTCAGTTGGTGTGCGTATGTGTGTGTGTGCGCGTATATAGTATATATGTAACTTTTGGGGTCAGAGGGGACCTTTGGTCTTTTGAAATAGGTTCGTGGCAGGGATTCCCACGTTGCCCAACGAAGCTACGGAAGACTGGAAGCACTCAGGGACGCCTGAATGTGCACCTGCATTTGGCTGCTAAAGTTTACTTCCTCATGGTCCCTGGCTCAACTAGAGCAAGACCGTCAGCCTTTGCGCCTGTTATGCTCTCTGCAGTCACGCGTTCGTTGATAAAATCGTTTGGAGTTTGAAGTGGTGGAAACTTTGGACCTCTGGCCTTCAAACCTTGACCTTTCAGGATGCTCAAAAACCCTTACATGATTTATTGCCCTAGGCAGCCGGCCTGAGGCACTCTGTTCAGCATGCATTTCACCGTTTTTTCCGAGTGCGCCTGCCTTCATGCCAGCCCGGAGTTGCTGGCGCGCTAGCTCAGAATGAGAAACCGATGCAATTATATACTTTACGTCGGGCGTCAGTTGTCTTCATGCCACGTTGAGAAGAATGTTGCCATGGTCGTGAGTTTTGAGGTTCTCGATGTTGCTTGTAGGTCCTCGGGTTGTGCGTTGTGGTCGTGTGCTGCGGTTGTGCGCTGTAAATGTGTCTTTGCGTTTGCGGTTGCGCGTTTGTGATTGCACTTGTGTGTTTGTGGTTGTGTGCTGTGGATGTGCTGTGGTTGTGTGTTGTGGTTGTGCGCTGTGGATGTGTCTTTGTGGTTGCGCGTCTGCGATTATGGGTTGTGTTTGCGGTTGCGTTTGTGGTTGTGCGCCGTGATTGTGCGTTGTGGTTGCGCACTGTGGGCGCGTCTTTGTGGTTGTGTGCTGTGGATGTGTCTTTGCGGCTGTGTGTTTGTAATTGCGCGCTTGTAGTTGCGTTTGTGGTTGTGTGTGGCTGTGTGTTGTGGTTGCGTGCTGTGGTTGTGGGTTGTGGTTGTGTGCTGTGGTTATGTGCTGTGGATGTATCTTTGTGGTCGTGTGTTGTGGTTGTGCGCCGTGGATGTGTCTTTCTGGCTGTGTGTTTGTAATTGCGTGTTTGTAGTTGTGTCTGTGGTTGTGTTTGCGGCTGTGTGTTTGTGATTGCGTTGGACGAGGAGGAGGACGCCAGCTGAGATAAAATCTAACAACACTGACCTGACAGGTGGAGATAAATTGCTACCAAGGAGTTTGTAGAAGAAGGCGAACACAATAGCCCAGACTAGGAGACGGATGCCTTCCCGGGCTCAGTGACAAAACCCCCTCTGCAGAGATAGCAAATAGTTGCTTCCGCAAAGCGTGCGGTTTAGAGGCATACCGTTGACGGTCCCGCTTCGAGCGCAATCCCTTTTCCGCGCGCTTCTAGCAGCGCCGATTCGGCACATTGTGCAACTTTCTCGTTTCACCCATGTTCAACAATACAAATCTTTGGGTGTCTCGCCATTCTGTTCGCCAAGTCAAGCTCTAATTTGCAGCAAGAGTAATGGGCGAATGATCACCGCAAGATTTCTCGTTTCACCCATGTTCAACAATACAAATCGTTGGACTTCTGGCCATTCTGTTTACCAAGTCAAGGTCTAATTTGCGGTGGGCGTGCAATGTTTATGCTCACCGCAAAACACTGAAGCCTCCCACTGTGGTGGGCTGTGTGATCCACACTGGGGCGCCGACACTGAGTCTTTCACTCCCTTACAGGAGGGCAGTTTCCGTAATGTCCTATTGGACCTCTTCTTGACGCAAACTTTTCACTTTCGAAGATAACTTTTAAGAATGTGTCACAGGCTCGAATCTCAAATCTATGCTGCAGAGCCACTGCAATCTCTCTACTGAATCTGTCTCACACGTGAAAATTTCAACCCCAATCAATGTTTAACATAATTTGCCGATGCGTTCGGCACACTTGCACGGAATGTTTTGCAGTTTTTCTCTCCTTCCTGTTTCGTTTCTCTTTTCTGCTTTCTCTCTTCCGAGAGGCTTGTTAGGTGTAACTCAGGCAGCGCCGGAATCGGCTTCAGTTCACCAGTTGCTGCTGGATCTGAATTAATGCGCCGTTCATTCGGCACCCTTGCTCGCAAGAAACCGCTTTTTGCAGTTTTTCCTCTCCTTCCAGATGCGTTTCTCTTCTCTGCTTTCGTTTCTTCTAAAGGCTTTTTAGGTTGTAAAACACAGGCTCTTGTGCCGAACTGACCAACAGACTGCGTGCACTTACTTACACCTACTTTCACTCTTGCCCTCTTCCTTTTGCTCTTTCTCCCTTTCTCTTTCTTTCTCAGGCTTGTTAGGTGGCTATTCAGGTACTTTGCACGCTTCTAGCAGCGCCGATTCGGCACGTTGTGTGTGTGTCACTCCCGCACCTATGGACACTATCTTTTCCACTACTACAATAAGGGACGCCGCACTGTGCACCTGCTTATTTCAATAGTTCAACTTTCCTCGCTTCACCCATGTTCAACAATACAAATCTTTGGGCTTCTCGCCATTCTGTTCGCCAAGTCAAGGTCTAATTTGCAGTAAGCGTAAAGTGTTTATGCTCACCGCGAAACACTGAAGGGCCTAGCTCCACGGAGCACTCATCTTAAGTGTGCGTTTGTGTGAGTGTGACCCACTCCTCCTCCGAACTTCAAAGAGAAAAGAAAGCTAACCTTTTCGGGTACTGCAAAGCAATTTCTTGCCAGAGGCGAAGGCTTGGGAAGGGATAGCTTTGGCTGCACAAGATGCACAAGGATGTTCAATCAAAATCAAACATCCGATCAAAGGGTGTTGGCCCACCGTGGTAGTTCCAAGGGAGAACCAGTTCAGTTGGCACTGAAATTCTTGAGCAGCTGTTTTGCAAATGAGGCCGGAGAAGCTTCCCACCAGGCCTCTTCGGCAAACTCCTGAATTTTTGCTGCTGAACACCAGAATGTGGTTAAATTCTGGGCGTTCATCTGGTGCACTACCTGCAAGCCAAGAAGTGCATAATGCCTCGCGCTGTCGTATAATATTATACATAGTAGCCGTCGGCTAGTAGAAAAGGGCAGCCTAGCCCAACTTGAGAGTTTGGTATGCTTCATCGCCCGGATTCGGGCTATACTTATGAAGACACAGAAAGAAACACTGAACTCTCCTCATGCTGTCAAACCCGCATGATGAATATTCGGTTCCGTAGCAGGTGGGTAACACTGTGTTGAACCAACATATAATTGGTCCGCTCTACATTCTACATCAATCATTTTCATCAGATCTATATAATATTATATACAGTAATCATATAAGCCAAAGCAAACTACCAGTGTGCTAAACTACCATCCTCCAAGCGGACACCTCCGCGCCTGGGGCAATCGATCTCGCAAATGGACCAAAAGGCTTGAGATATGGTCGACTTTTAGCCGGCCACATGACCACCTGCGAAGTATTCACAATGTCAGGAACGATCAAAGAAAGGCAGAAAGAAAAGAAGGATAAATGAAAGGCCTAAAGTGGTTTCAAGGTAGAGGCTGTGTGTTCTCAGGGGTGAATGCTTTTGCTCAGAAGGCCACATTATCGATGTGAGAGTCTCCGGAGCGGGGACATCATTGATCAAGGCCGTCTCAATTGCCTCGACTAACACCTGCACCCAACTTGTGGCAGTAAGCTTTCTCGAATTGTACCTTGCAAGAAGTAAGTGCCAGCTTGATCGTGTCATATCTCATTGACTTGCCGCGTCCTCTCTGCGTATATCTGGCTTCTCCTTCTTCAAAGCCCACCTCAGCATGCAGCACATCAAACGTTTTTCCTGCTCGGATGCTGCCTGGCTGGCTGATTCCGCCGGTCACCTTGATAACTAGTTGGCTGGCTGGCTGATTCCAACAGGTACCCGGAATCTTTTCGTGTCAATCCCCTTCTGATTGCAGAAGTCTTGTCCAGAAATTCCACCGAGCCACTGTTGAAGCATAGCAGCTGCCGACTGCAAGCCGAGTTCATCACCCTTTGCCAAAGCAAGAAGAAAGAAAGGACTGTGCTGATGTGAAAAAAACCGCTTTGTGATGCTTTGTGTGTTGCAAGAAAGCTGGCTCTCCCAAAAGTCCGGACAAGTATCCGCTTCCTCTGGTGAAGCCTCAAGATCCATACATTGGGTCTGCTAAAGTCTACTCAGCACACCAAGTCTAATGTTCGAAGTTTAACCAGTGCATACATGGAGACTTCTAAATTGAATCTTCTCCCTGCCTGGAAGACTGTGGTTCCCAATTCTTCCCGCACTAGGGCAGTAACCTCAAAGATTTGTATTCAGAGCAGTGAGCTGAAGATTGAAAAGAAAATAGGATTCATTGACAAACGTTGAGAAACTCAACATTGCATTGAACTGGTGTTAAAGCTTAATCGATGCCCAACTCCACCTCTGCGTTGTAAACCAAAACAAAGTTTCCAAACATACTCTGTCGCCAAAGCGGAGTTTGTGTAAGACTGACAACATGTGTAGTTTCCTAAAAGAAAAGAAATAGAGTGGTCCCCTGCGAATCTCCTCCCCAAATCAACTGGAGACATATGCAGGTATGCCACTGTGCTTGGTGTGACGTCAAAAATAAAAGCATGTGTGTGACCCTTGTAGTCACAGGGATCCGTTTGGATTGTACTTTTGACTCCGTTTTCAGTTTTCATTTTTTGAGCAGGGGGTGCAGAGCACAGTGGAGACTGCACCCAACGAAGCTATCCACTTGTGCTGGAAGCAGAGCCTGATCAGCTCTGTGCACCTGCTTTTGACAACCTAAATATGGCAAAAGCTGTCCAATACGTTGTTGTTTCTGCATTCCGTCGTGCTGCAGTAAAGGGCTAGTGCATCGGCAACTCACTTTGGAACTTTCGTGAGCTTTGGACATGCACTCGGTGTTGGAGGCTTTGGAGGTGTCTTGCTTTCACCTGTTGTTAGTTACCTGGACCCTTAGGCGGTTTTACCTAGGCCGGCGTGTGGCACCACATTCACATCCGTACGCATTTCTATAAGTGTGTCTCTCCTAGCGAGAGCCCGGGATGAGCCCGAAGAGTGCCTCCTCTGGACCCGTCGAACGGGGGTTTGTCTTTATCTCCCCTGCCCAGAGATGTACGTGCCCAGAGCGGGCGCAGGAGGCTTATGCCAAAGTTATTTGCCAAGGCTTGACGAATTATTGCATTCCAAGCTGGTTCATGCCTTTACGTGACCGCAGCGGTCAAAGGTGGCAGCCCTCGGGCAAGCCGTACGTGGTCGCAGCGACCAAAGCTTGTTCAAGGTTCATTGGGACCTGTCGGACTCTTAGATGCACATACATCGTACACACTTTAACGAGGCAGGTCTTCCTAGGTCGTTGTAATGGGGTCTGGTTTCATCGGTTCCCGTCCCCTCCATTTGGTTCCCCTTTTCACCCTTTCCCCTTCACACACTTCTTTTTCCTCTGTCTTTTCATGTCTTCCCTTGCTTCATGTCCTTTCATCTCACTCCTTTCGTTCTTTTGCGCGTACAACGGTCCGGGCCTTAGTGTGTACGCGCACATCTACTTTTAACTCAGGCGTTAGGTCGCCCAGGTCTCGACAATGAGGTGGGTTTCATTGGTTGTCCCTGTGCACTTGGTTTCTCTTTCATCGCAACCACACACACTTTTGTCCCGTCTCGTCTTCCTTCTCATGTCTTCATCCTTTTGTCTTTGCAGCGCGCACATCTGCACATTCGTCCTAGCCTCAATAATTGTTGCCTCCCCTTGGGGAGGCGTGTGTGTGCGTGCCCCTTGTAGTCACAGGGATCCGTTTGGGTTGTACTTTTGACTCCGTTTTCAGTTTTCATTTTTTGAGCAGGGGGGTGCAGAGCACAGTGGAGACTGCACCCAACGAAGCTATCCACTTGTGCTGGAAGCAGAGCCTGATCAGCTCTGTGCACCTGCTTTTGACAACCTAAGTATGGCAAAAGCTGTCCAATACGTTGTTTCTGCATTCCGTCGTGCTGCAGTAAAGGGCTAGTGCATCGGCAACTCACTTTGGAACTTTCGTGAGCTTTGGACATGCACTCGGTGTTGGAGGCTTTGGAGGTGTCTTGCTTTCACCTGTTGTTAGTTCCCTGGACCCTTAGGCGGTTTTACCTAGGCCGGCGTGTGGCACCACATTCACATCCGTACGCATTTCTATAAGTGTGTGTTTGAACTGTGTGAACAGGTTCAAAGCGTACCCGATGGTGTTCAGTGCCCAAGTCAAGTACAAGTAGCTGCATCAATATCCACCGTCTCCGGCTTCTCAACGCGCTTCAGTTTTAACGCAGACCTACTGAGACTCACACAAGCGAGGTACACAAAACACTGTGTGCGAAGTGCCAGAAAAACAAGCCTTCTGAGAACGGGAAGGTCTTGAGTATCAATATCTTCTTCAGCCACCTGCACAAAATCCACCCTCAAAATGTATACTAGAAAAACGAAAAGTGTGCGTTTCTTTCAGTGCCTTTCAGTGTCATGCTGGTCATGCAACATACTTGGAAAATCAGTACGACAAGCGATTATGCCACGCAGACCTCAACTCTTGGAGCCTCTTCATCAAACGGAACAGCGGAGTCAGAAACTCCGACAGCTAAAGCCGCAGGAGCGCAAGATCTCCTGATCAAGCCAACTTTATTTAGCAAAGCTGTCCCACCTTGAGAACAGGAAATTTGAACGACGAAAGTCTTGCGTCATGTGCTACTGACTTACACCTTCGATCATGCTGTATGTATGTTGGTAGTTGAGTTTCTCGGCAGAAACAACATAGCGGATTTCAGAAGTTTGAAACACGCTCAAACTCTAAAGAGCTGGGAGTGGCTATAAACCATCCCTAAGCGTATGAAAACACGCTTATAAAGAATCAACTCAATCGTGATGTCTTTTGCATTTCAGTTGTTTGCATTTAATGCCGGATGCATCTTTCTCTGTCCGGAAAACTGATAGCTGAACCTGTTGCAGCTTGGAGCTCCTCAGAGAAAGTGATCCATTCATCAGAAAGCATTCCCAACCTGAGCTGAAGCGTCTGAAGCACAGGAGTGGCTGAAGCTTTACCATGTATATAGAAGTAGAAGTGTGTCTTCTTTCACCACTGATCGAGTGAGGAACTCAACACAAGAGCTCTTTCTGCGAAGATCCAAACACCGGTCCATCCAGGCATGCCCGCCTACACTCGTTCGTCCAGAGTCACAATTTAGGCAACGGCGGGCAAGAATCCAGCAAAGGGCACTCGAAGCCTCATTGTCTCTCAAAAATCATCATGTTCGTTGGAATGTCGGCTTGATCGGTTTACGTCATATCTTTGGAAAGACTGGGGGCGCGGGCATGTTCTTGGGATGGGTGAAAGGAGTGAAAGCCCAACATAGAGTATGTTGGTGCTTCAGAATACTCGTCCATGCGGTTCACGTGCTTGGTTTCAGTACAGAGGTGTCCTCACCTATTCTAAAAGCAAGGTAGATCTTCCACCAAGTTGCATCCCGCAGTGGCTATTAGATCATTGGTCAAGACTAGTGTTGCTCTTCAAAAACATTAAAATGTTGTACAGGCTGCCGGAGGAGGAATATTTGATAACAAAGTGTCCAACTTCAGCAAATGCCAAGCAACGACAATGCAAAAACTCCTCCTGAAAAAGCATTCTGAGAACAGCTCCACGGACCCTAACCTAAAGCTCTAAACAGAATGGCTCCTTTGCCAAATGTGCGACCGCACACATGGGAGCTTTGCTTGGAAAGTCGCCATCACAAAGAAATGTTCTGTTCTGTTCTTTCCCTTTCCTTCCTGGTTGTCTTTAGGCCTTGCTATGTTCTTCTGTTCTTTCTTGCTTCCTTCTATTCGATTGTGCTATGTCTCAATATTGCCAGTCTCAAGAAGAGGTCGCCATGCATCTCATGGCTGACTTTGGAGAACCATGGAGTACCTGCTATTCAGAGCATTGATTGATTTAATAGTGATATTCCTGTAAAGTCCAGGCAGCTTTGGAGGTAGAATCAACTCTGGCAAAGGTGCATTGTTTGCTTTCACATCCAAACCGCTTAAACATGCTTAAGCTATCTTAAGCTCACATCGATTGCCTGGCTCTTTTTTAGCGAATGCTCTCAGCTAATCCTTGCAATATCTAGCTGTCCAAAGACACAAGATGCCCTGCGGCATGCGCTCCCTCAGGAAGAGTGGCATTGCACAAAAGAAGCCACCCTCCAGCTCAGACATCGACAATTTTGTTGCTTTGCCCATTGCGCCATCTGATTGTACCACTAAATTCTGTGGTTTTGTCAGTTGCCACATGCGAAAAAAAGGGACAAGTAGAACATGTGGGAGGTAGTAGACCTCAACATGTTGCACAGAAAGAACAGTACAGTACAGTACAGTACAGTACAATACAATACAGTACAGTAAGTCTTTTTTGCAAACATCTCCAAACACTCTTGCGGACTTTGAACAAGACAAGGGCCACACATATCTCGTTGGGGACAATATCCTACTGATCACGTCATGTTTCACACTTTTCTGCCTGCTCGAAGCAGCTTGCCACAGAGCTTGGATGTACCCACCAAAGGCCAATCCTTTCATTATGGCATCAAGGAATGCTGCATGGCCAAGCTTTTACCTTTCCAGGCTGCCTGTAAGAGCCCTTGCACATGGGTAGAATCAAACGCTTGCATGTGCATGCCAACTCACTCTGGAAAACTTTGGAGCACTCCATGGCCACCTGATGCAAGACCCGAAAGATCACTGCGGTCTGTACCGAATGGTCAAAAGAAAATTAGAACTGTTTCACTGCCGCCTGCATGGTCGGCAATTGAGATGCGTTATGGGAGTTCTCTGACACGTCCTTTCTGCCTTTGCAAAAGCTGTAGGCCACAATGTTGCGTCCGGCAAACCATGCATGTGTCTTAAGGCTCCAACCAGGTCGAGTCCCCGTCTCTGTCATCGCCATCATCCATCTTCTCAACATCTTCACCTAACAATGTGGATCACTAATATGAGCACTGCCCATGTGGTGCCCGAATTATGTATCTGAGGCAGTCTCGGTCACGCAAGGCTGCATGAGCCAAGCTCACACCACCACTGCATAGAGCAGCAGACCAAAGCACAGGGCCTGTTGACGAAAAGAAAGAATCTGACATCAACACAGTGAAGAGCGGAGTTCTCAGCACCAAACCCATGAACATATGCAGGAAGAGGAGTGTTGGCAAAGCCATGATCAACTTAGGTTGTGGGAAAGGCAAGTAAGTGTGACATTTGGATTCTCTGTACTATGAAAGTGATCTCAGCTCAAAACCATCTTCATGTTTGCACCTAGCGGCACTTGAACGCCACCTGCGCATCTTTGCCGGCACTTGGACTATAGCGCGCTGCAAGTCAAATTCCAGGCATGGCACAATTCATCTTGGCCATTTTCGTCTTTGCCGAAGGCACTGTGCAAGACTGAAATTGGGCTGGCTCGGCTGGCAAATTCATCCAGCCGTCCCAAGGCAAAACAGTCTTGCAAAGACCAACACATGGTCAAAACGAGAATACAGCTCCGCTGTCAAAGATCAGCAGGATGGCTCCAGAACAATGACCTTAGACAGCAGTCTGCGCAATGGGACAAAGGTGGATTGGACATATGAAGCGCGGTCAAAATTACATGTTCAGCTACTAAAACATGTCTAGGGAGTGAGTCACCTATCGCTTTTCAGGGTTTTGGATACTGCAGGTGCAGGTGTGCATGTGTCTTCATAACAAAGCCCTTTTGCTGCTCATTCTGCAGTGCCACTGCTGGCACCTCTGCTGCTACTGGAGCCTGTGCTCTCTTCGAAGCTCGAAACATCCTCAGCAGCACCACTGCAGCTTCAAGCTGCATGTTCCGCAGCTTCCTCCGCGCAATCTGTTTGTCTCTACACACCCCGTGTACTGGAGGTCAACACCCTGAGGGAGCAAGCGCTCTTTTTCGGCCTCCGTGTCAAGGCATTGTCCAATGCTCTGTTCTGTATTCTGTCAGCGCATCTTCAACAGGCACCAGCTGTATGCTGGAGGTCAGGTTGGCAGCTGTCACCATGGAAGAAAAGACATGGTTACAACGGTTACACCCTTTGACCCCAACCGTTTGCGCGATGCCAAGGGAGTGGAGCTCACTCACACGATAAGTTTTTCCAATGTGAAACCCATCTGCTTGCATCTTGAACCTTTGCGCTGCTTAGATGTTTCATCCAAGAGAACCACCAGGGCTGGCATCATGAGATCCCTTGTCAGCTGCAGCTTCACAATATCAGCGCCTCTCAATTGCGTACTGCTCGAACATTCCAAAGAGGCGATCTGCCTTTGATTTCATACGCTTCTCTACGTCAGCCTCTGGGGTAACGCGCAGCACAGGTTCTCATAAGTCGCGACCAGACTTCAAAGGGCCCACGCCCTTGCCGCTGCCCCAACCTGCTCGGTGCGTTGCAAGAAGGTCACTGAGAATCACTGCGCAATGGCAAGGTCACTAACTCAATCAGACAAAACGCTGACTGATTTTTTGGTTCAGGCGACTCCTGGAGCTTGGTGAGGACTGGTTTGCGAAGAGCCTGGTCTTCAAAGAACTTTGTCTTCTGCTCCAAGGGGGCTGGGTCCAATCAGAACGCCTGCCACTTCAAGCTCCTCACAAATAGGTTTGAAACATGAAGCCCGCCACCACCAGAGCCCCCCCCAGTACTGTGAGCCGCAGGGGGTGCACTGAGTGTTTTTGGAGGCCTTGATGATGCTTAAACCCTTTGATCTTTGGTTATCGAACAAAAATTTGCCCAAGTTCGTCCTCAAACAAAAGCGCACTCGCTGCCCTGACCGTGCCATCTTTCACTTGCGCAGCTGTGTCTGTCCCCTTGATGAAACAAATGGACTGCGGAACCGAGAGTCCACTCACATTCACTGCAGTCTTTGAACCCAAAACATCTATCATAGCAGGTATCCTTTTTATGAGTCACCTATCTATCGCTTCCGATGGTTTGGTGTAATAATTAGAACCATACAAGAAGCCAACAAGACATCCAAGACCAAACACATCTACGAGAATTCGAACTGTTGCTCATATGCAAGTATCGTTTGGAACGTTACATGTGAGTTTGGTCACGCAAAAGGTGTAAAAAGGAATCACAAGGTTAGACTTCACGGACTGCGCTGCCAATGAGCAGAATAGCTGCAGCAACTGCGTCTGCGAGGCGCCGCTCCTCCCGTTCTTCCGTTGAAACAGAGTTTTGCGTCTATGTGTTTCCCCCCTATATGTGGAACTCTCCGAATTCGCCTCTCCTGGCTTCTCGCTTGCATAACCATTTTTCCATCCTTGAAAGTCGCAAACCAGAGCGTATAGATCCAAAACGGCCCACCCTTTCGGCTGGGGCAAGGGCCGGAAAAGCAGACATTCTCACCAGAACAGCCTGAGGTAAAGAGGCAAATGTAGCAGTCTCATATGTCCCATACCCACGGCATGCATGACTGTATAGTATGTTCATCTCATATTTGGCCTGAGACTCATGGCAGCCGTGAGCTGGCCTTCGCAGAAAACGCAACAAGGACATCATGGAGTAGCCAAAACTGTAGCTGCACTGATGGACTGATGGACTGAGGTCGATGCAATGTGGCACCAAGACCGAACAGATTGTCGTCCAACCGGAAAAGTTGCCTTAAGGCTTTAGGGTGTCTGCACCCAGCGAATCTCACTTGTGCTGGATACAGAGCCTGATCAGCTCTGTGTACCTGCTTTGCGTCGACCTGGAGTTGGGCAATGGGCCTTGCTTGTAACTAGAACAACCGACCAGCCATCGTATCAGCTTTCCACTTCGCAGTCATCGGGTGCAATTTTGTTTTGGTAGGTCTTTGTACTTTGCGTAGAGGTTTCGTTCTTTTGGAGCCTCTAGCTTTAACTCGACGTTGGTTGGACCTCGTTGCATACACCTGCGCTCTTAGGCTTCCTGGTTTGCCAAGGCCTGTTCGAATGGCAAACCACATTGCGCAGCAACTCTTATCTCCGGTGAGGGCCCGGGAATGCCCATGACGCAAGCCCTTTTGTGAGAGTCCGCCACAGCGACTCATGCGCAGCCCACTCACTAAAGCCCTGTGTGCTCCCCAACTCCGCCATGTCAAGCTGATAAACTACTGTGGAGCAGAGGGTCCATTTCTCTATTGCAGGTCAAGATCAACTCACCTTCAGAGATGGTGTCGTCACATTCAACCAAGAAAATATGTGTCAAGTTTTTTGGATGCCAATGAGCTCAAGGCATCGTCCCATCCAGTGTCAAGGCAGCAAGAGAATCCTTGGACCTGTATCATGTTGATGGAGAGTTGTGACAGTCAAGTCAAGTGACTGTAAACAACACATGTTCAAAACAGACCGTGAATGTTGAGGAAGGAACCTCATCCAATCCTTGGGAGCTGGAAGTGCAAGCTTGCAAAAGCAATTCACAGCCCAAGGTTGCAACTGCAGTTGAATGCACATCTGCAGCAGCCTCCCAAGTCACTAGTCTTTATATATATATATATTATATCTACGTATGGAGACAATGAGGACCTTTGTCCATCACTGTGTATTGTCCCGTGTCAAATTAAATCCTCTTGATCTGAAGACAATCAAATACGGAAAGACATATTCCAAGATAAAAGAAAAAAAGGTCTGCCCGAACGTCTGCCCAGTGTGCCCTCACAACCTTGCAAACATCCACCATGTCTCAACCAGGGGCTTTGGGAATTGGCAACAGAAGTTTCAGCACCATTCAGCACCCCCAACAAAGGATTTCTTCCAGAGAGAACCCAAGGGGTCTCGATTTCTGCAAGGTATTTGATGCAGTTGCGTCTCAAACAGTAACTTACACTACTTGGTCGACCAATTACTGGAGTACTTTGCCGGCTTGGTCAGGATCAGTGTGCAAAGGGCAAGATGTAGACCTGAATGAAGGATCTGCCCACACAGTCACCAGCCTCCAAATCAGGCGAGTCCCATTCCTGCAAAGCAGGATGGAATCTGCGAGCTCGCAATGGCTGTGAAAATCCGGCTTCTCTTAACTTCTTGCCTGCTTGAAACGAAAGGTTGGCTGCAGTGGCTTCAAGAAGCTGGTAACAAGCCTCATGCTGAATTGCCAAGGCACCACATCAAAACACAAGCTACCCTGCAAAGATCAAGGATGTTTGAAGGATTCAAGCATTGATCAAAGGTTTCCAGTTTGGCTCCGCACAGTGGAAGTCGGATGAAAAAATTGGCAAGCTCCATAGGCTCCTTGCAAAGTGACTCGTCTTGCTTTAAGCTGAGTCTTTGGGCATTCAGCTCAATGACGCGCCTCATTCATCTCTCCCACCAGGTTGGCCTGCGAGACGAAGTGGGCCAGAACTGCTGCAAGCAACCAAAAGGCTTGCCTTGACATTCATGGAAGGTGGTTGACCGAGAACATCCATCAGCTCGAACTTAATCTTCTGTTCGAAGGATGTAGCTTGCCTCAGAAAGTCTACAGCATCCCAAGAATAAGCTTCACCAGCTTCGCGGCGTGTTTGTTTGTTTGTTTGTTTGTTTGTTTGTTTGTTTGTTTGTTTGTTTGTTTGTTTGTTTGTTTGTTTGTTTCAAGAGGGGTGTCTACTTCGCAAAAAAAAAGATACAAAGGAATTGGCACTGATAGTCAGCTGCAACTTGGACCCAAACTCATCCAGCAGGACTGTCAGCAAACCCTCCGTGAATGAGTTCTGGCCACATTCGCAGTGAAGGGCCGCGAACTTAGAAAGAGATAAACAGTTTGGGAAATAATGTGATATCAAAAAACTTGACTACTCGAATAGTAGGAACCGAGTCGACAACGTCCGTCTCAAGGGTTGCTTCAAGCCTCCATTCATGGCAGTGTGTCACTCACATCAGCATCTATATACACTTTATATTACACCCGCCCCACACTGACACTGCCTTCTTTTTGGATCTTTTGAGGTCAAAGCAAAGGCATCAACAAAGACTCGTAGCCCTCTGTCAGTCCCCACCACTCGCCCCGCACTGACGCGGCCGAACTGTGCACTGTCATTGGACTGTGACGCCCAAGCTGTCACAGTAGCCTTCCCTTCCTGTCTCATACATAGCACCCACACAAACGCGATGACTTGCCACTCCAACAAGCCTTGGAAAAAAATGGCCTGGGCCTGAGTCATGCAGGGGTGTATAGCCCGTACCCTATTTATCAGGGATCAAGAAGTGTCTCCAAAACTTCAAGGCACCAAACTGCACTTCACCAAGGAGTGGAGCATGGTTACTGAACGGCACAAAAAAGTGCGGGCGCACGAGGTTGATAAACCCAGCTTCCACCATAACGCGTAGCTTCATTGGCATGAGGTTGTGTGATGGCCGCATGCCCCGTGCTGCTCTAGAAATTGCAAGCCCGCCAAACAAAACAAATCGAACACTGCAGAGTGGAACATTGAACCCAAGATGTCCAAGTATCAGTGTGGGTTGATTTTTAAAAGCTGTTCTCGGTCGACTCACTCACTCACTCACTCTCTCACTCACTCACTCACTCACTCACTCTCTCTCTCTCTCTCTCTCTCGCTCCCGCCTCTCTCTCTTTCTCTCTGGGTGGGTCTATGCAACCTTTAGCAAATTCTCTTCCGGAAGGGAATCCTGCCTGGAGAGTTTGCGGTTTCGAGTTGCAACGTAGACAAGCGTTACCTCATGGGCAACAAGAGGCTATCAAACGGCAAACCTGAATGGCTTGACCGATGACTGAAACTTTTGAGCACTGGTTGCAAGATTCTTGTCAGTTCCCCATATTCTATCAAGCGTCTGTGGCAGTGAGGTCGATGGATCGCGACGCCTCACAGACAACTGGGTTTCACTGTTTCCAGCTTGGAGCCGGTCAAAAGAATATCCCTAGCCGTAATTGCCCATGTTTTCAATACAAATCATATAACGTGGAACTAAAAGCTCTGCTTTCTCAGCTTTCGGAGGGCTACAATAGGTATGTGTCATGACATGACTGCACACGTTCCCCTTCCAGCGGCTCACTGGAATGAATGCACAAACCACTCCTCGTGGAGGTCAGCACAAAAGGACTGCGAAGCAGCCGACATTGAGAAAGCATCATTGAAACCCATTCCCCATACGTCTCTTCCACTTCCAAAGCCACATTAACTTACCCAAGATCAAGCGCATTATTTCAGCGTGCGTTGTTCGTCGGGTTTGTTCTTTCATATCTCGAACACCGAAGACAGCGTTTAGAACCACAAGAAGAAATGTAGTCCAATAGCTTATACACAAAGTTACACAAACATCCCATCGGGTCGGAAACCGAGCGCCTATTCGTGTGCGGTCCACAGCATGACGGAAGATGCGCAGTTGGACTTGCAAGCCCGTAGCTTATATGGTTATTACGAGCACCAACGCTTTTCAATTGAACAAAGAGCAAATACCTACATAAGCAGAACACGCATATACTCGCCAACTAAGATTTTATAATTTGTACGCAAACAATACAAGACAAGCTCTTCGACGCAACATTTATACATTCACGGGCAATACGATGTCCAAGCGCCAGCGTGCAAGGTGCACCGGGTGTGTGGACATGCAAGCGCACAGTGCGTCTTTATTCTCGTGGCCTATGGCGATCCGTTCTTGGCGAGCGACTTGCGACCTCCCTGGAGAACCGCTTCAAGGAAATTCTCTAGGACTGTCGAGGAAAACCTAGGTGCGCGAGCCACAGCCAAAACAAACAGCAAACCCAGACGCTCAAGGAACCTCCTGGATAACTAGGGGCCGGGCCCTCATATTATGGAGATCCGGGCCTTCGAGCCCCTAGTCCTAGTTGTTGAGGGTGGGGCCTTTGGGAAACAAGACAGAAACACTACCAAAACACAGCCCATCCCACCCAAGCATGAGCAAGACACCACCCAAAGAGAGAGATACCAGCGAAACATGACCGAGACACCAGGGAAACATGACCAAGACACCAGCGAAACATGACCAAGACACCGCCAAACATTGCCGAGATCCTCCACAAACATTAGTGAGACAAAACCAAAACACAACCGAGACACAAGCGAAACATGCCCCAGATACCACCGAAGCATGACCAAGACACCAGTCAAACACGGAGCTATGACCAAGACACTGACCAAGACACGACCCAAACATTACCCAGACATGCAAAGTATGACCGAAGGAGACACCACACAAACATGAACAAGATACCAACAAGCCATGACCGAGACACCACCTAAACATAACCGAGACACCACCTAAAGATGACCGAGACACGTGCGAAACACGAGCGAGTCACCACAATAGCATGACCGTGACACCGCACAAACATGGCCCAAATAGCACCAAAACTGGGACACCATCGCCTAGGCCCGGGCCGTGGATGCGATGGTGCCCAGGTCTGATGGCATTCGCTCACGCACTCCATGTGTCCACTCATCATCGTGAATAATAGGAAGGTTCTTCGTCTTAACGTCGCCTCTTGAGGAAGTGCGGTAGGTCTGGTCGCCCGCAACATAGCTTTATCCCTTGCCCTCTCTGACCACCACTTCACAAGAAGCCTCACCACCACACCTTCCTGACCTTCACCCCTTCAAGTGGTGGAGTGACTTCTATGGGAACCTCAATGCCATCCATCGGCATGGGGACGAACAACCAACCCCTTGTTGGGTGGACTTTCTAAAACGCGTCACACCTTTGAGCTCATAACCCACGTGGGACTAAAACCTCCGTTTTCTCGACTTTCAAAGGGCTACAGTAGGTGTGTGTCATGGCATGACTGCACTGCACACGGTTATGTGTCTAGAATACATACCTGTGAAGGGAGGGGGCGACAGCCAGCTTCTGGCTTAGGGTGGTGGTTTTAGGGCAAGCCTGGCGTTTGCCCGCTGTTTGTTGTTCATGTCCTGTAGATGGACTCAAAGACTTGGCGCGCAAGATGAAGTGATTGGCTAACATCGTGCAAAGAGTACTTTTATGGGGTGAAGTTGACATCGCAGCCACCCCAACAGGGGGTAGAAACAGAAAGTAGAATACATAGGGGGTGCATGGGGGGGGGTGCCCTTTTTCGTCCTGGTTCAAGGGCATTTTGGAGGTGAAAAAGGGCACCCCTAAGGAAGTGAGGGGCGCTTGTTGCCAATCAATGAGCAAAGATGGCTGTGGGAGGCCCATGGGCGATGTTATCGGCAGGCTTTCGTAAGGATACATATCCGTATAAGGTAGAGTGGACAAAGAGTAGCCGGAAGTGGTGAAGTTGATATTGCAGCCACTTGAGCGTGCAAGATGAACTGATTGGCTAACATCGGGCTGAAAGTACTTTTATGGGGTGAAGTTGACATAGCTGAATAGCCACCAGAGACGTACATTTCCCTCTTCTGGAGGAGCTACAACCGCTTCTCACGTCCCGTTGTCCCCGCTTTCCTCTCATCGACATGAACTCCCACCCCTGGTAGAAGACGGTTTAAATTGCCTCCTGATGCACTACTCGCCGTCAATTACATCACTTGCATCCCCAAAAACCACTCATTTTCACTACCTCCTGGCCACCTTCTTTTCGCTCTCCCCCACCAGGCTCTGGGTTAGCTCTCCAAAATTGGCCCTCTGGCGACCACCCCCCACACCCCCTTTACTCACTTCGTTCGCTCCCCTAGACTCCAGCCTAGCCTATCTACATATATAAAGACACTTTGACGTGTTTCTTAGATCTAAGTCTCTCCACAGAGTTCTAGGACACAACAAGGAGGAAGCTCTGACATGGTGAACTGACATGGACACCTTGGTGGCGTTGAACGGACGAACCTGAAGACTTTGCAGTATAATGTTCAAGAGGCCTGCTGCACATTGGCATGTATCTCCAGGTGTTCTCCTTTGTAAAGCCTGCATGAAATGATAGGAAACGTTCAAAAACATATAAATCTGGAAGAGGATGGAAGAAACTGGAAATGCCCTGAGGTCACAACACTCCCGTTCTGTGACACAGCAGCTTAAGGAAGAGCTGATGGTTCTCATCATCTGGACGGGGATGTCAGCAACTCTCGTAAGAGAATCTGTTGAACTGATTGAAGACATTGTTTCTACAAACTGTTTGAAGGATTGAATGTTCATTCGATGAAAATTTGCGCATTAATACAGCTGTCCCCTGCAAGCCTGTGTGTGGGTGAAGCGGTTCAACATCGTGTAACACCCTTGACAAATGAAAAGGTTTGTGGGCACTTTGCAATCAAAGACACTCCGTGGAACACTCAACTGTGGCAAACGCTAAGTTGAAGACCGCTTCTTTCCAGACGGGCTTCGCGCCTTTCAATAGGTCTGCAGAGCTGTGCTTGTGACTTGCAATCCGTCAAGCATCAAGCCCAGCCTGGTCATCACTGGCATCTTGGATCAAGTCCTTCTTAGCGTCGCCTTCAAAGCCCTCAGACTTGTGGTTTGTGAGCTCAAGATGCTTAAGGTGATCAAAGTCCTCCAATTCTTGGTGCACCCCTGCTGATGCTGAGAGCTCAATCTCGTTCCCAGAGCCAGCTTGTGGTTCAGCTACGGGAATGAAAACACTTCGTCCTTTCCCATCTTCAAAGTTGAGAGAATTAGCTCTCTCGTGAGACTCCCAATCACCACTTGCTTCATCAAGAGGCAATTCTTGCGGTGACAATTCTGCAGCTGCAAGCGGCACTTCTCCGTTTTCCCTGGATGCCACAGCCAACTCCTCTGACTCTTCTTCTTCTGGTGCTCTATCTTGGTGCTCTTCTGCATCTGCTTCTGGTCGCTCCTCCTTTTGCTCCTCTTCGGAGGCTGCGCATCTTGAATGCTCTGTCTGTGCATTACGGCTTTCGACCTATGGGGTCAAGGACTCTGTATACGTAGTAACAGCTAGTATCGGCTGTCCAAAGGGGCTCCACACATGGTGGATATGTGTCCGTGAATTCAGGACTATTCATGGCATGCGTGCTTGATTGTCGGATTGTTTGTACGGATTGTTTGTACGTACGGAAAGTCACGTCTGTACCTAAAACATCCTAAAACCGTTTTTGTGCAAGCCACCTTCTGAGCAATGGCCTGAGATGAGGGAGTCACGTTTGGAAGGTGCAACTTCTGCATCCCGAAGTCTGCTCCCCACGTGAAAAGCCCTTGAAGGCCAGGATACGACTCCGCTGGAACAGCATCAGATTCGCAGAGCAAATTCCAAGCAGCTGGCAATGTGTATGGAAGTTTCTTGAAAGAATACATTGAGCTCTTCATATTTGGATCGTCACAGCACGAGGCACAGTAGATCTCAGAGTGAGATAATTCAGCCGAGACAAGTCGTTGGACCTCATAGAGTGGGTCACCGCCTCCACCGTTGCAGTTCTTGCCAGCGCAAACTATCTCAGCCATCTTAGGCTGATGAACAACAATGCGGAAGGACAGGAGAGGACCGGCACCGCTCAAATTCCTTTCGTCCTTTGCAGATTCGTTAGTAGATTCGGGCCTGAGCAGTTGTAGAACGTCACCACTTTGCGCTCTACCCAATTTGCCAGCTCGAACGGTTTGCAGGTTTGAAGATGAAGCAATTGGACCCAGCCTTCTTCCATTGCCATTGTTGATGACAATGGGATTTCCACTAGTATTCTCCACTTGGATGGTTTTGGTCTTCTTGTTGAACCATAGACGCAAGTGCTCACGTGACACGCAGCTTAGATCCTTCTTGTCCAGCAAACCCTGAATTACTGCATGATGTCTTCCAATGACTAGTGCTTCATCTGATCTCACTTGCAGTCTCCCAGCGGCTGCTCTATTCTTTGGGCTATCTTCTGAAGCCATCGCTTCTAACCAACAGGTTGCATCTAAAGGTATTGATCTCTGACGCCTCTTGCTTGTCTCAACATTGACTGCGCCTCCCCAGCACCATATTTGAAGGTTCACCTTGCCCGGAATAGCAGAATGCTTGCATGCTCGTGTGCAAGATAACTGCAGGTCAGAAAGTACTGTCTCTGCGCCTTCCTCCGTTTTGTTGAAGTGCAAGTGCAAAGCACCCAAGCCTCCTGGTAGAGCCCCTCCACATACCGATTCAATACTCATTTTCTCGTCTGCCTTCCGTGAGAAAAGCAGCCTGGGTTCCAGTGGTATGCTACATATGCCTGAGGAGCTTTTCCTTGCTTTCCTCTCTAAGTCTTCCGAACGAAGCCACTGCTCTCCCAGCAAAGCATTTGTGCACCAGGCTTCAATCAAAAGCCATGGCACATCCGGCTCAAGTCCCATGCCTTCAAGGAGCCGTGCTTCATCAAAGAGTGGATCCACCACCAGTGCAGCTGCTGAAGATGCCGTTGCGTTCCGAGTCTGCGAATCCGTGGCTTTGCAAAGCTGCAAACACTTTGCTATCTCGGTGAGGTGCTTTCTAGACTTCCGCAGATCCTCCTGCAGGCACTGAATTCTTGCAGGGGCTGCCTCAACTCGAGATCGAAGTTCATCACATTTTTGTCGCAAAATATCTCTGTGTGCAAGAACTTTCTCCAGTTCATCTGACACACCCAGCTGACGGTTTGGAGAAAAACAGCATGGCATCGTGCTTTGCCATCTCTAAACTAGTGTCTCTAGAAAGGAAGCTGTTTGGTTTCGAGTCTGGAAATGGTCTTATATAATTGGGTCAAAAGGAGCTAACCGTCTAGCCATGAGAGAATCCAACCGACCCTGAATGCCCTGACTTTGACCTTGGTCCAATCGGCAAATTGGTCAGCCATGTGCTGGGAATGCCAACGGCAAAACCTGCTAGGGACTGACTCGCCTATCTGAAGCGTCCACGGGCGATTTCTGAACCTCGGCATCTGGGCCAAGGGTGCGCACATTGTTACTAGTAGCTATTGCTGATTGCTACTACTAGTAATGCCCTTACTAGTAGCTTCTTGTTACTGATAGTATGAATGCCATGCATTGCATTGATTGCATTGCATTGTGGGTCTGGTTGACTCTGGTTCATTGTCTCAGTGTAGCGTAGGAAGCCAACTGATCGCTTCGCATGGCGTGTGACCAGCCGCCACCCACACCTGCAAGCCTTCAGAAGTTTAATCACTCACAAACTGGCAGCATGCTAAATGGCAATGTCTGGTCTGGTTCTAGTCCCCTTCAGGGCTAATACAGTAACTTTATGAGCAATGTGCATATGCTGTATGTATATTTACATATATATATATATAATGTATATATAGATAGATCAATGGGACCAAGATCAAAATGCACAGCACCAAGAGCCGAACATCATCAGCAGCATCGGCGAAGTGCAAACAAACTGGCACGATGGCTCTATGTGAATTTCCCGCAGATCGCTTCATTGTCTCTAGACTTGAAGAATTTTGTTGTCTAGTTGTCTTACTACTGGAACATGCTTCAACGCAAATGCCGGCACCATGAAAAGCATAGCCAGGAAAATGAAGGCATAGTTTGGGCCTGCATCAATAAGACATGCAGCACAATGAAAAGCCCCCAGCAAGTTTGCTGAGTCCGATGCAGAAGTGCCGAGCATTGGCAATCACCTCGGGAGAACGAACTTTCAAGTCTAGAGAAAATGAAGCGATCTGCGTGAAATTCACATAAAGCCATCGTGCCAGTTTGTTTGCACTTCGCCGATGCTGCTGATGATGTTCGGCTCTTGGTGCTGTGCATTTTGATCTTGGTCCCATTGATATATAGCAGAAATCCATGACCCGCTACAACAAAGCCAAGTTGCATTTCTCTGCAAATAGACTTGGATCTCCCCTCTGCGCGAAGCTTGTCGAACACCCTGTCATGTAAAGCAGTTATCAATTATCTGTAGTCAGCATCACAACAATGCAATCGCATGCCTCCACAACTCTCTGAGGGTTTAGCCTGGCAAACCTTAGTCAGTGTATCCACATTCAAATTGACAACTCTCGAAAGAATGATGCCGCTGAGGTAGGGGCTCGTTCCACGGGCGCAAGTACCGGCGAGCTGCTGAACTGTACCTGCATCTTGGTCTTCGCACCGAATGACCATGATACATCATACCACATCAACATATTCACCAAGCTCTATGTATATATATATATACACTAATTAAAGGATGTCCGCAGTGGTAAACTTGTGCTGTTTAGGAAGATTGATGATAGAACTAGGGGCACGCTCTCGCCAGGTACCGTGGTACTTGCATCAAAGCCCGTCCGTTCTCAGCTACCTGCTCAAACTGGATCTCATTCAGTCAGCTTTGATCAAATAAAACACGGACTGATCCAATCAGAAAAAAAGAACTATATATATATATACTGTATATACTTTTCCCCAACAGCAGCATGCTTTGGGGTCTTCAGCCATAGTAAAGGTTTCGGCTTCGGAGCAAGCCGGAGCGGCTCCCAAAGACATTCCCCAGGTTCCCACAAGGTTCCCACAACGTTCCAAGGTTCCCGCCAGGTTCCCACAAGGTTCCCAAGGTTCCTGCAAGG